GAGCATCATCCCAGGCATTAAGAAGTCCCAGGTTTGATCCCAGGTCAGGGTGCAAGACTGGGTAGGGGACTACATAGCAGGTAGGGAGCATGCAGGAGTCAGGCGATTGATGTTTCTCTCTCATCTCTGTTTCTGTCTCCCTCTCCCTTTCTCTCTCTCTAAAATCAATAAAAATATATTTTTTAAAAAGCATATTGTATCAAAATTAAATACATACTTACATTATCAAATGCATCTAATCTAATAAAAGGGAAACATACAAATTGACCGCACCTCCACTATGCCCAAGCCATGCCCACCAGCTAATCAGAGCGACTATATGCAAATTAACCCAACCAAGATGGCTGCCGGCAGACACTGAGCTGGAGCAAGCAGGAGGCTTGGTTGCCCCAGTGATGGAGGAAGCCAAGCTTCCCATCTGCCCTGGCCGGCTGTGGCCTCGGCTCAAGGCAACAAAGTTTCAATTATGGAAGATAAATAAATCCCAGATACCTGCTTCCAGCCAGCCTCCACTGGGAGATTGGGTGGCTGGAGGCCGTGGCCAGCCAGCAAACAGCCATCAGCCACTCACCCAGGCTGGCCACACCCTCCTGGGGTGAGGGTCCCCAATGGGGGGCTTGGCCAGCCTGCAAACGGCCCTCAGCCCCTCACCCAGGCTGACCAGGCACCCCAGCGGGACCCCCCACCCTGATCCGAGACACCCTTCAGCCGGCTCCCACCCATGCACCAGGCCTCTATCCTATATAATAAAAGGGTAATATGCAAATTGACCCTAACAGCAGAACGACTGGAAATGACTGGTCACTATGACACACACTGACCACAAAGGGGCAGATGCTTAATGCTTGCTCAACCACAAGCCAGGCTGATGGCTGCCAGTACAGCGGTGGTGGTGGGAGCCTCTCCTGCCTCTTCAGCAGCGCTAAGGATGTCTGACTGAAGCTTAGGCCTGCTCCCCTCTGTCAAGTGGACATCCCCTGAAGGCTCCCGGACTGCCAGAGGGATGTCTGACTGCCAGCTTAGGCCCAATCCCCTGGGGAGTGGGCCTAAGCCAGCAGGTGGTCATCCCCCGAGGGGTCCCAGACTGCAAGAAGGCACAGGCCGGGCTGAGGGACCCCCTCAAGTGCACAAATTTTTGTGCACCAGGCTTCTAGTCAACAATAACCAAGAAGGTGACTTTTTATTGATATACGTAGGAGATAAATGTTGTCAACGGCAATTTCCCAGAAGACCTCCAAAATAACCTATGAAGAAAAGCTAAATTTATTACCCAATGCAATCAGGGAGAACAACAATTTGACTGTTTAGAATGTGCAGAAGAAGGGGGTGGCAGGATTGTGGGGAGATAATGTATATTGCTGGTTAAGACAGTTATTTCAATGAAAGTCTGGATGTAATAGTTTAGGATTGGTGAACACAGAGAGGGAAGCATCTTGAAGTGAGTATTAAGTAAACAGTTTAATTATTAAGAAATTTTCTCAGTTTTAGAAACATATGGTGCAGGTAAATTAACTTTCAGAAGAGAAAATTGAGTTCGTGTACTGTTTTACAGCTGCGTGGGCAAGAGTATTCAAGAACTAAAAGTAAAATCAGCTTTGGTTCTTCGTCCTGACAGTTAAGGTGGATGCATGGGGGGATGCAACGTGAAGTGTTTTACTGGCTGCTTTGTGTGGAAGAGGTGTAAATTAAAAGGTTGCGTTTACTTGAAAGACCTTAAACTAGGATATACCATTGTTTTCTTTTTTGTTAGACAAATAGGGAAAATGGATGGGACAGAAATGACAGCAATGTGGGGAACAGACACCAAAAATGCATCCTTGGAGCCAGGGATGGAGAGGCCAGACAGGGATTACATCTTTCATGCCTTTTCATTAAGAAAAAAAAAAAACCTGACTGGATTGAATATATATTTAGGATAATTGACTCATTGACTCTTAACTTTCATTTAGCTGAAAAGGAAGATCATTTATTTAATCAAGATACTGTATAGACATGCATAATACTGTGTTTTAAAAATATTTTAAGTACACCTACCTTATCTTCCTGTGTTAATGTACTTCACTCCTTGATCTGGTTCACTCATATTTCATTACCTAATATTAAACAAAATATGAGATGACAGTTTTGACATATGGTTCCCTAAAGGAATTGATTAAGTGCAGTAATGGGAGTTTCAAAACTGGGCGACTTCACTAGTGATTATAAATCAAATAGGAAAGTAGGATAAATATGAGACCCAGTAGACCAGATTTTAAAGACCAGAAAAAAATAAGAAGAATTAATTATGGCAGATCTTAGATACTTTTAAAATAATTTAGGCAGAAATCTGAATTAAATATTTAGCTAGAGAGTTACCCTTGAATTAAAAAAAAAATTCTCCTGCTGCTACAACATTGACAGTATTATTCCCAGGAGGGCAGAGCTAGAGGCATTTATACAACCTCAAATCCTGTAGATTTGTTCAAGTCTAAATAATTACCTAACAAACTTTACTTTAAAAAATGTGAAGGTAACATTTTTATCTTCTCAAACAAGCTTCACTCACTTCCAGTTTGGTTCTAAAGGAAATCAAAAGTAATTTTCCTTATTCTGCCTCCTATACAACCTCTCACCTGCCTGGGTTTTTCTCTTTCTATGAGAGACTCTGAAGCCACGTGTTGCTCTCTCTCTTCTATTGTAGAAGAACCGCCCTTCACACTAAAATTGCTCTCTAAGCTCCTCTTTCTCCCTAAGCCCACACACTTCATCCTTATTTAGAATTTTGCAGTGTACTTATCTCCTGGGAGAAAAATCGCCCATCAAGTGACTTTGTCCTATATTTATCTCCATGTAGAAGGGGGGAATCCTTTTCCTCTTAATTTATCGTAAAACTATTATAATGATGATTTGTTAAGGCATGCACTCTGTCTCTTCTTGCTAATCTATAATGTTAATGTTAACGAATATCAAGAAATGATATAGAATTGAGACTATCAAGCAAAATAACAGAGGGGATTGGTTGGGCTTGGACTGTTGATTCAAGCATTAATTGAGTCAGCTAACAAGGCCAAGTAACAGAGGTGACTATCGTTGCCTTTAGGCTGTGATCATAATTTTGGGATAGAAAACAAAGGAAAGATAGAAAAGAAAATAAATATGTATTATGTGTGTAAACCTGCTAGTTGGTCAACATCATAAGAAAAGGAAAACAGGTGAAGTTAATGATAAAAGTAACCCAATTTATTTATAGCTAACAACAAGGGTTCAGAAGGTGATGCAATGCCTTATTTTTATTTATGTTTGCAAGGCCTTATTTTAAAGATCACATAGAACTATCTTGCAGTCTGTGCTGTCTGCCTCCGAAAATAACTTTAAAATATTTCTGTCTGTCTTCCTTCTCTTTTAAATCACCATTTATTTTCCCCTCTCCCCCAGGCCACAGGTCCAACATGTCACTGCCCCTATGTGAATAAGGTCAAAGGAGAGTCAGATTGACCTCTCAGTCTTCTGAATGAAACACAGACAAAAAAGAAAAGCAAGTCTTATTTTCTATAATATTGATTGATTCTCATCATGTGATTTGTAGGTGTTAAGATTTATAATATTGAAACAACTGGAAAACAGGTCAGAAAATCTTGCTTTGCCAAAGTGTCAAACATTTCTTTACAATGCTCATCACCCTGCATGCAGTCCTTGCTTACCGTTACACAGATGGAGACATTTGGGATCTTAGTGGTTGTAACTTACATAACTTCATTGGTTATGAATAGTGGACTAAATCCTCTTCAATACTGCCTTTCTTCCAAGAAGGGCAGGGGGTTTGGGATATTTAATACCATAGGAAAGGTTAGTGGGTAAACTAGAAAGATAGTATTATTATTATTAAAAAGAAATTTTCAAGCTTGCTTTTGTCTATCTATCATCTATCTATCTATCTATCTATCTATCTATCTATCTATCTATCTATCTATCTTAGCTTGTGAGTATCCTTTCTGACAGTTTTCCCTCAGGTTGATATTTTTAGTCTGAGGTACTCCTATGATAATTTAATTTCCTGATGAATGTGGCTCCAAAATATATAAAATCAGCAGCTGTTCAGAAGCAATTTTATTATTTTAAATAAAGACACCCTTCCTCTAAGATTGACAAAGTAGAATTAGTGGTATGCTAACAGTTTCACAAATATTTATTTGTGTTTTATAATCCTGATGTTTAGTGAATTTTATTAGTGTAGTCTTCAACTGGCCTCTAAAATAAGGGCAGTTTCATTGTACTGACACACTGGGTAAACCTCTAAGTACAGAAACCTTTTTTACGACTTTTAAATGGGGGAAACACTGGTCAGAATTTAGTACATGAATAAAATACATATATTGAAAATCTTCCCATACATCATACACATTTGAAGGTAATTAGTAAAGCTTAAAATATCTTCATTTTAGAATGTTATGCACAAAAGGGGCCTTATCATCAAAGATTTTGATCTGTGATCACATGAACCAGATAAAATACCAGAGACAAAATTTCAATCCAAAGGAAAAAGATTGGAGTAGGAATTGGACGGTGGTAAGACTGGATACATGAAAAAGCCTGCATGAGGTTGGTTCAATATGAGTAGCCCTAGAATTGTGTAGTTATGATGAACTGGCAGCCCTTCCTGCAAGTTTAACTAGATCATTAATCAGTAACAGCCTACATAGAAAACTGGAGGCACTTCTCATTGTTCTTTCTTTCTCATCTCAGAATGGGTTGCCGATTGCCCGTATTTTAATTAATTTTTATTTGTTAAATCAGGATTGTGAGTGGCCCTCTCACTAACCTTGTTCTCATTGCACAATAGGCCATATGCTAGGTGGACTTCAATGTCGCTGAAGAAGATTAATGTGAGCCAACTCTAGAAACCTGCTAAGGTTATTAAAGCCTACTGATGATGTTTGTTAATGATTCACATTTTCTCCTCCACAGTTATTATGTTACCTAGTCAATGTGATTGTCTATTGTTAATGTCTTTGTTGTTGCAGATACAGATGTGGTGTATAAAAGCGAGAATGGACATGTCATTAAACTGAATATAGAAACAAATGCCACCACATTATTATTGGAAAACACAACTTTTGTAAGTAATGAATACTTAATTACTGTATGCATTTCATTATTGTTTAGAATGTTCTCTAGGTATACATATTTTTTTCTTTTTTTAAGGTCTGTCACTTTCAAAGCACTTAGGGGAAAAGTTAGGGCTGGAATATCATTAGAATCAGTATATCGAGTGATAGAAAAATACCCATGTGACCTTCTGCTTCATTTTCTTCCCATTTATCCGTTGTAGTAAATAATATTTCCAGGAATATTACTTACAATGAATATTTCTTTTATAATTTTTATGTAAAATTAGTCATACCAATGCCAATATTTTTTTTATGTCTAGTCTAACAAGTTACCATTAGCTTTTTCCCCCTCTACTTTTCCTTCTTTTTGAATTCTTTCCAATTCTGTATTGGTTTCCCAACTCAAGCAGAAGGCAGTCTTTCTAAAAGTGGCCTTCTGTAGGAGTTGATGTGTTTTACTTTTAACATTTATTATTCTACCAATATCATTTTCCAACTCCAGGATCATTGTTTAGATTAACAGTGTTCAAATAAATGAATGTATGTATTTTACTCTTAGAAAGAAGTATAAACTTTGCCTTTCTCTTAAACTCAGTCATCTTAAGGTTAGATTTAACTATGATTACCTGTAGAGTAAGTGATAACAAATTAACTGTTGCAAATGTTCAAAATCTAGCCATCAAATACCACTTAAAAGTTATTTGCTCACTGTTTTATATAACTAAAGGTTTAATATATTGCTTATTATATAAGCTCACGATTTAGACAAAACATCATGCAAGGCCTCAGAGGACCTAACCAAATTAAAGCAATGAGTGAACCATGAGCTACTTTTTTTTTATTCCTATGTATACATTTGGAATCAACTATTAATCTTCATGTGTATTGTAGGATGGCCATATGGAAGAGATAAACTGGAACATTCTGGTGTTTTTATATATTAAGAGAAAATGGTCTTTGCAAATCATGAAGTGACTATATGGATACATATCTATAAAGTTAACTTAAACCAGCCATGGTTTAGCAATTGGGTTATTACTAACAGAGAATAATGACATTTTATTTTTAAACTAATAAGGTAATTCATAGATATTAGAGGAACACATATGTTGGATGCAATTCTTTATAGCACTTGTGGAATGCTGAGTATGTATAAGGCATTTGCTCATTTTTTAAGAATATGATTTTCCATATGGGAGATGATAAGAACCCTCATGAAAAACTTCAATAAACAGTATCAGCAGGATCCAGTATTTCTTTTTTTTTTATTTTATTTTATTGCTTAAAGTATTACAAAGAGTAGTACATATGTCTCCTTTTTTTTCCCCATTGACTTCCCCCTGGCCTTCCCCACCCCCCAGTATCTTGCATCCATTGGTTATGCTTATATGCATGCATACAAGTCCTTCGGTTGATCTCTTACTTCCCCTCCCCGCCTCCTCCAGTATTTCTTAATTACATAGACCTCAGGGATAGTAGGGAGGAGGATAAAGGGATCATTGAAAGTTGCTGAAATCAATGGAAAAAAATGCCCTCAATAGGAGATTGAACAGGAGGTAGAAAGAAGTAATTGGTAATGATGAGAGGGTATAGTAATTATTTTCTGATTAAAGTCAGTCTGAATTGATTTTCCATAAAATTAGTTTGGAGAAAAAAATTAAAAGCATTTTTAATTTTATGCCCCTTATTATAAAATATCGTCTTTGGGGGTTAGTAGAGGCTGCCAATGGCCATGCACGTGTTAGTTATAGTCACTCAGTAGGTCACCGAATGTTATGTGACTGTTCTTTTTTTTAATATATGTTTTTTATTGATTTCAGAGAGGAATAGAGAGGGAGAGATAAAAACATAAATATAGCCGAAACCGGTTTGGCTCAGTGGATAGAGCATCGGGCTGCGGACTGAAGGGTCCCGGGTTCGATTCCGGTCAAGGGCATGTACCTGGGTTGTGGGCACATCCCCAGTGGGAGATGTGCAGGAGGTTATAGTCACTCAGTAGGTCACCGAATGTTATGTGACTGTTCTTTTTTTTAATATATGTTTTTTATTTAATAAAATATATTAAAAAAAACATAAATATAAATATAAACATAAACATAAACATAAACATAAACATAAACATCAATGAGAGAGAATCATTGATCAGCTGCCTCCTGCAAGCCCAACACTGGGGATCAAACCTGAAACCTGAGCATATGCCCTGACCAAGAATAGAACTGTAACCTCCAGTTTAATAGGTTGACACTCACCCAGTGAGCCATGCTATCCAGGCGTGTCTGTTCTTTAGTGATCATTACCCTTATACAGTCTAATGAGATCTTCCTTCAGGCCTCATATTATGTATTATTTTTCATCATTTACTTCTTTCTGCCTTAGCATTCACGATACATCAGAAAAGAAACAAGAACAAGACTTTTGGTTATTTTATTATCTCAGTTTTATTATTGGGACTTCACACCACCCCTACTTCATATCATTGTACTTTTCTTCATGTGCTGATTTAGGCCATTTTATCTTTGTTCCTGTATGTTAATTCTTTTTAAATCCTTTTAAGGTATTATTTTTTTTTACTCTCCTCTATGCAGTTTATGACTCTTAATTACCACAAAGTCATATTTAGCAAATAGTCTTATTCACTGATCTTCTAGGATTCATAGATTCCCTAGAAACATTGATCTCACTGCACAGATAACTAAGCAATTTTTAAGTCCTAGAGGTGTCAGAATTCAATGGAAGGGTAGGCAGATAAGTGTGGCCTACTAGTGTCCTGGTGCACGGATTCATGCACATTGAAAGGAAATTAATTAGAAGAAACATTTTAATATTGCTATTCACCCTTTCTCTGTAATAGAAGTGTCAACCAAATTCATGATCAGGATTCTACTGAGTCTCCTATCTACCTATTCCAGGACTTCTGTGAGGATCAAATGAGATGAGGCATGTGAAAACATTTCATAAACATTTGGTTAAACTGTAAAATGTTTGCACCTGAGCAAGTCAGGCTCCTGGGCTGAAGAAACTCCAAGGAGGCTGGTCACTAGGGAGAGGAAGCCGGGCGTTGCTATATGACACTATTCCCAGTGCCCACAGCGACCGTTTCCAGGCTGGGCTGGCCTGGGCTGTGGGCCATATTTTGCGCCATGGGGTCTTGGCAGTGTTGGCTGCGATTTGGTGGGGTGTCACTCCAGGGTGGTGGTGGGGCCTGTGTCCCACTTGGGGGAAGCCGAGTGTTGCTTCGTTAACACCAGCTCCCTGGTGCTATTTATTTTTAAATGGCCAGTGCGCATCTTGGCAGCTCCTGCATTGAGTGTATGCCCCCTGGTGGTCAGTGCGCATCATAGTGACTGGTCAGAGGGAAGGATGAACACTTACCCTTTTATATAAATAGATATTTGCAGCCAGTTAACCCAAAACTGAAAACAAAAATACAAATTACCATGATTCCTGATGATTTCAGAGGAATTCATTTGATCATTTCCTCCCAATTCCAAGATAGCATTATTAAATACAGATGTGTTTGTAAACCTTACATTAGGCTAATGTCTGGATTTATGTTCTATCTAAGGATTTTCTTTTGGAACAAGACGTATTAGCAGAGCTTAAGAATTTTATTCAGGTTGCAGGTTATTCATTGAGCAATTATCAATATTTTAATTATAATCATATTTAATTGGATCAGATTACTCTAAAAACGCTTTATAATAGAAGTGTGCCAAGTCAACTGAAACAATAAACACATTATTCACAAAAATGTGATAACAGATTGGCCTGTTATTAAGACACATTTTGCTAAGATGTGATTGCCAATTTATTTTAAAAATTAAGATAACACCACATTGTCAGTTCCCTGCTTAAACATATTTTAAATTCAAATAGTAGGTACTTTTAACTATGTAGTCATGGTTAGCAGACTACAACAATAATGGCCATGGTTGGCAAAAATAAAACAAAAGTAAATCATTTTCCTGAAATAATTGTCTTAAGGCATTCTTTGAGATTGACCATAGGTGGGATTTCTAATAAAGGAGGAAATTAAAGGGTACATAACTTTTTGAAGGGGGACTATATTTAAAAAGCGACATAGCCCCCAAATTGCTCTTAATCTTTTCTAAGTGTTTGGAAATGTTATCTCTTACAGCCAGAACTATTTCAAACAAAAGCTCACTCATAATGACATAATGAGGAACATGTTTCACAAGTATTAGCTGGCCTCTTTCTGCTGTCAATAAATTGAATATCACTTGTTGCCTAGACAGAAAAGGCCAGGAGCCATAAATACTTCTATCAAATCACTTTTTGAAATTAAAATGGAATTGGAAACATGGGTCCAAGCCATGTGCTTAAACATTGTAAAGGTTACAAAAATTATATTTCATGCACTAATAAGAGATAACTAGCGGAGAATTTTATATCTCTTTGATTCTGAAAATCAGTAATCTTTTTGCTATATAAATAACCTAAAATCGAGGGAGGAAATTTATATATGGTAACCAAAGAATTCCAAGGAAAATTTTAGTCATAAAGTTTTTTGTCCAACTATCTATTTATAATTCATTACATGATAATAGGTTTGACTAGAACCAGCAGGTATTCATTGCCTTACCATACATATAGATAGCATTAATTGGCTTGTATGCCATTGTAGTATTTTAATTTATTTATTTTTGTTCTGCCATTGGCATATGGGGGTTGGAGGACAGATCCAACTCTATGTGCAATCATGAAATTAAGAAACTTATATTCTGATTCATGTTTGAGGAAATAAGTGCCCTATAAAAAAATTACAGCAGCACAAGAAAATAATTGCTGGATGAAAGCAACTAAAATTTCACCTTTTAAATTTTGAAATAAAAAAAGCTTATCACAAACTTCTGGCTGGCCAAGTGGCCTCACATGCTGGCTAGAGTAATGAAAAAAAATTGTGTTTTGTAAAAGACCTGGACTCAGTGGTATATGTCAGTAACCCAGGAGTGATTGCCCTCAGTAGTGAAACGGATATTAACTAACC